ATTAGCTTAACTCACAGACGGAAATCCACTCACAATGGATTAAAGGCTTAAACACAAGACCTGAAGCTGAAAAACTAGGAAAACGGGGAAATATCCCTTGCCCTCACCTTGGTGATGATTTTTTTATATAACACCAAAAGCACAGGAAACAAAAACAAACAAACAAATGCCACTACATCAAGCTAAGAAGCTTCTGCACAGTAAAGAAAGCAAGCAACAGGGTGAAAAGGCACCTATGAAATGGGAGGGAGGATTTGCAAACCATACATCCGATAAGGGGGTTAATGTCCAAAATGTGTAAGCAACAGACAACTCCACCCGAGTAAAAACAACCCAGCTGAAAAACAGCCAGTCTGTGGTCAGACACGTCTCCAACGCGAACATGCGAACAGCCACCGCTGCCAGGAAGGGTGCTCAAGCATCGCCAACCACCAGGGAGACGCCAAATCACATTGGGATAGCACGTCACACCTGTCAGGATGCTTAGTGTTTAATTATCTTTTAAGTAAAAAAAAATATCGATGAAGATGTGGAAGACAGGCTCTCTAGTCCATTGTTGATCGAGGTACAAATTGGTGCAGTCGTCACGGAAAACAGGATGAAGGTTTCTCAAAAATTGAAAATACAGCTGCCGTGTAACTCCTCAATCCTACTTCTGGGTACTTATCCGAAGGAACTGAAATCCGATCTCACAGAGACCAAATTCCTCACAGAGACGCCTTTGCGTAGCAACCATCTCAACAGCCGAGACATGGCCACAGCCCAGTGTCCCTCAGCAGGCAAGTGGACTAAAGCTCGGTCTGCACACATGGTGGAATGTCACTCCGTCTTAAGAGGTCCTGCCATTTGTGACAATGGGGAAAATGGGCCTGTTCACCATTGACTCTCAGTGTCTGGCAAGACCCTGAGTGTCTTGAGTGACGCACCGCAGGGTGCTGGCTCAGAGTCCCCGCCAGGGCACACCACTGCGCCTCCCAGGCCCCCCAGGCGGAGGGCCCAGGAAGAGCCCTGGGCCCTGGTGCCAGTTTCCACGGCGATGCTGAGACACCCCTCCGAGTCGCTCCTGGGATCCGCGCAGCCACCTCAGAATGACTTCCGACTGAGCAGAGACTCTCGATGAGGTGGGGCAGCCAGCGTCTGGGAAGCCCAGTGAACACTCAAGATGGCCATGAACTCCCTCCCGCTCTCTCGGGGAAGGTCAGGCTTCACCCCTCCAGTGTCCTGTGATCTGAATGAAGGTGATCTTGCAGGACGAGTAAAGCAGTGGGCCAGGGGGTCAGGTGAGCACAGCGCCAGGACAAACAGAGATGGCACGGAGTGGTCAACACCCCACCACATCCCTGAGTCTTTGGCCGAATATGCTGGCCCTACAGACTGCGGACAGTTCCAAAAAGAACAGAAATTTGGGGGTAGAGCTGTGGGCCTCTGGCGCATCCAAGCGCAGAGTGTGGACCAGAGATGAGCCCAAGAGAACCTGAGGGCTGCAGATGGGACCCCAGTGAGGAGCGAAGCGGACGGGTGTGTGGACACACAGAACAGTGGGGCCACCAGGGGCCGCTGACACCATCCCGGACGGGGATGGGTGAAGAAACTGCGGACCAGAAAGGTGAGGAGGCCAGGGCAGCAGGCCTGCGAGCAGCGGTGTCGGAGCTTGTGGGGGCACTCAGTTCCCGGAGCGAAATCTTTAGCTTCTTGTGCTCCCCGTGGTATCTCTCGGAAGGGGCTGTTTTTTGGTAGGGGGTCTACTGCTCCCTTCTTAGTTCTCTCTCTCTTTCTCTCAGAGGGAGATAAAACAAAGGGAGAAAGTGCATTCGGGGTCTTTCAAAAACTTCTGGAGTCTATTACTGGCCACTATATCTAATTTATAATTTGGAATTCACACATGTCATGTGCTCAGTGCCAGCCAGGGCACTTTTCCTAATGTGCCTCTTCCCAGCCCACCTCGAAAGGTCATTGTCATGGAGTCCAGATGAGGCAGGTGGCCGCCGAGCGGGCAGAACGACTGGCTGAAGCCCACGCCGAGCCGGGAAGCGGAGAACCCAGCATCCACCGCCCGTCCTGTCTGCTGCTGCTGCGTTCATCAGACAGGGAGAGTTTGCTCACTTTTTTAGGACAAAAAAAAAAACAACAAGAAAAGTAAATAATTTATTGGCTAGAGTATTTTGCAGTGTGTGAAATTCCTTGTACTGCCTCTCCAGCCCTTGGCCTCTCTGGGCGACGGTGTTACCAGCCGCATGTCACAAACGAGGAAACCGAGGGACACGAAAATCCAGTGTCCGACGCCCAGGCCCCCTCGGAGCCAGGACCCGAGCCGAGGCTTTCTTAGTCCACCTGATGTGCTTTTCCATTGCACTGGGCTGAACTCAAGGAATGGAGGGCAGGGACGTGCATTTTAAAGTTTAAAATCTTCCATCAGATGCTTGCAGCAAATGTTAGACGAAGGCCATTCCACACTGGATTACAGTTATTCCAAAGTACCCACTTGAGGGAAAGTGAGCATTTGAAGGCAACACATGCATTTTTGTTTTCCTTCCTCTGCTTCAGTGGGCTGGTCCTAACTGTGCAACTGGCCCCGAGACCACCCTCCGGGCCTGCTGGGCCTTCCGAGACCGGGGCGGCACTGGACCAGCCCTGTGCATGCCTGGCCTTGCGCGGGTGGGCATGCGCCGGCTGCTGGGGCCACAGCCACGGAGGAATGGCGGTGTTCCTGTCCTCGGGACGTAGGAACTCTAGAGAGGGGACAGGCCTGGGTGCGAGCAATGTCAACACAACCCAGCACAAGCTGTCACAGAGCAGGTCCGTACAGCTCTGGGAGCAGAGGGGAGAGAAGCAGGAAGGCTTCCCGGAGGAAGGGACATGTGAATTTGGTTCGTGAAGGGAAATGAGAGTTGGTCATTGTGGGGAGAGACTGACATGACAAGAGCAGGGTATGAAAGGTCAGGAGACACTGTCACCTAGTCCTGGCTCCATCCAAAATCGAGGTCCCCTTGGTGATCCCGTCAAGCCGTACGCATTCGGTCCAACCGGGCCAACACCCAGTAAACATCTGGCGTTACAGAGTGAGTTGTAGGAACGTGAATCCTGCCCACAAGGAGCTCACGGTGTGTCCTGGGTCCGGCCCCGCCCACACTGCAGTGAGCCCCAGGGTGTGCGGCTCCTGCGGACACCATCCAGTGCTTAGCCCAGCCCCGGCCTAGCAGACCCCGAGTTCCCGACTGGATGAGGACTGCGTTTGATGGCAAAGCCCTTGACCTTCACCATTTGTAAATAAGGGTGATGACACACTGTGTTCCCCTGACAGAGACCCCTTTCCACTTCCCTGCGTGGACCCTGGACCCAGCACAGTGTTCCCACTGCGAGTCTCTGGCCAGGGTTCCTACTCCCTCTTCCTAGCTGAGGTCTGTGTATCTGAGGAACAGAGTTTCTTCAAAAAGAAGGATGACCCCTCTTCTCTGCAGGGCATGTTAGGTTTTGAAAAGCCCTTCCCCATCCATCACCCCACCCACTAGACTGTCACTCGAGCAGGCAAGCTGCCAGTGTCATTAGTGTCCCCATTCTACAGATGAGAAAAAGGAGTCTCCAGGAGGAGGAGAAGCTCAAGGTCACACGGCAGTTGTGGGATGAGACCAGAACTCAAATCTGTGCTTTCTCATCCTTTCTCTGAACCTTCCCATCTGACTGAACACAGTCCTGTCTCCTCATTACGACACGATTCCCAGCTGAAATGCTGGTCAGCTCACATGCCCGCCGGCTACAGCATAAATTAAAAGCCCAATTAAAGAACATGGCCCTTTAACTGGGACTTACCACCGTCCCCAGAGGCCAGGGTACAAAGAGAGAGCCCTGTGGAAATCAATAGCTGCCCCTCCTGGAAACCACCCAGAGACCCACTTACCCACAGGCAATAGCCTTGAGACCCAAATTCTTCACCTAATTTGACCTCCCTTCTCCATCATCTTCTGGGGCCCTGGCCCCCGCTGGGCTGGGCTGGGTCTGGGACCAGCCCTTGGCCCCTGGCTCTGGCCTGCAGCCCAGGCTAACAGTCCATCCCTCTACGCGGACAGCCCAGGTGCCTCTCAGTGCCGACACATCTCTTAATGTCAAGAGCATCACAACGCGATGGAAAGCACACCTCCCTAGTTCAGCCAGAGAACCGAAGCAGCGGTCTCCAGCTCTCTGAAAGTGGAATAGTTTGCTAATGGCCGGAGACCTGGGGGTGGCCGAGGAGATGAGGGGTGTCATTATAGCCCATGGGGTCTTGTTTTGCTGCCAACAGCATGGGTGGGGGGGCACCAGAAACAAGGTGAGGAGAAAGGGAGGGGGCGTGCTGAAGGCTACTTTATAATGTTATTCCATTCTCACCCATCCCTCCAGCCAACGGCAGCAACAACATAAACACCAGGGGTACCCCTGAGTCCCAAAATGGCAATAGTTCCCACTTTCCTGGTCTAAACAGCCCCCCAGTGGCCGGGTTTGAGGCTGACTGGACAGACCACGGGCTGCTGTGAGCTCCGGCCCCAGCCCGTGTCATAGCTGAGCTGCAGTAACCACCCCCTCCTGTCCCCAGCTAAGTCACAGCAAGAACGGGTCTCTGGGTCAACCTGGATCACAGAGAATCGGGGCCACTGCCCCCTCTGCCCCCACCTACTCTTCTCCCAAACGTGAAGCAGGTTCAAAGGCTGGTAGAACCCGCTTGCCCAGGGTCTGGACCGGCTCCCTCAGCCTCCACCGGGGACTTTGGTGGGGACCACCTCATTAACCCCAGGCCTCCCACCTATGGCATCAGATCCTCCCCCCCCCCTTCGCCCTCTCAAGCCCTGTCCAGATGTGGCCCGGCACCAAAGGACAGAGAGGTTGGGGGGACCCAAGGGGACAAACCACATTTCGCGGCGGAATCCCTGTTAAGTAATAGAAAGCCATCCAACTAGCAGCTAGGCTTCCAGAAACGTCACTGCCAGCGAGGAGTTTTGCAGCTGCCCACCCCGAGTGCTCTCTCCTACCTGTCTCCCACCGCAGGGCTCCCCTCTGTAACCTCCTGGGCCACCGCTCCGGGGTCCCTCTTGCTCCTCTTGTCACCTTCGACAGCCGCCAACACTCGCAGCTGCGGTGGGTGGCCCGCGGAGTCCCGGGCACCTGTGAGCTGGGTCTCAGGTCCCCTGGCGGCGAGGCTGCCTGGAGGGGGAGCGAGAGGATGCTGCCCTCGCCTCGGCCGCCGCCGTGGTGCTGATGCCGTTGCTATGGTTATGGAACTCCGCAGCTGCCCCCTCTCGGCGCAACAGCTGCCCGGCCGCGGCCTCCGGGCAGCCCGGGCCAACCCGCCCGGAGGCAGCACAGCGGATGCGGGGACGGTATCGGAGTCGCCGGCACCACTGCCAAATAGAAACTGCTTGTGTCTGCGCTAGAGACTGCCTGCGGGCTCTGCTCACCTCGGCGCCCTTGCTCGTCTCCTTCCCCCGCCGGGACGCGCCAGACCCCGGCAAAGCGCGCAGCGCGCCCTCGCGGCCTGGAGAGCGCGCCCCACCGCCACCGCTGCCGCCGCCGCCCGGTCCCCAGCTCGCGCGCCGCCGGCGCTGCGCGTGTGCCCGCAGGCCGCCCCGCGGCCAAACCCCGCCCGCGCGCCCGCTCGGCCTGTGCGGGGCGCCAGCGGCCGGCCCGACGCCCACGCGCCCCGCTGGCCCGCCGAGCCCCGAGCATGCTCAGTCTCTGCGTGGGGGTCGGGAGTTGCCCGCCTGAATTAGGGGACTAGGTGCAGCCAGATGTAAAAGGTCCTTCCAGACCCTTGGGGTGGGGAAGCCAACCCCCACCCCGTGGCTGGGGGAAGGGTGTTATACTTTGACGAGGGGCCCAGGGGTAACCCCCCAGAGAAAGGAGCCTCGTACTCTGCCCCAGCTCAGAAAGGGGCAAAGCCCGTTGGGACCTGTACATCTAGCACAGTCAGCTGTGCCTGCCAGCCAACCGACTGACCCGTCATTCCCTGGTCACCTACTTCCCCTTGGGCCGCGGGGGTTCAGAGATGTGTAAGATTCCGTCTGTAGTGGGGAGAAGGCTGAGCGGGGTTCAAACAGCGAACAGCTGCTGAGCCTCCTTCGCCAGACTCTTCGCGCGGAGAGTTCTCCGGTTCCCGCCATCACTGTTAGGATGGTCTCTGGCACTGGAGAAAACAGCCTCAGAGAGGGGGGCTTGGGGACCACAACCCCAACCAGCAGCCGGGGGGGCACTCACAGCCCAGTAAGAGATGCAGCTCATTAGGGAGCAATTGCAATCCTGTGACTAGTCCTAATGGAATTGGAGATGGGATGGGGAGGTAATCAGGGAAGGCCACCTGTGGGAGGAGGCAGGAACAAGCAAGGGGGCAAGTGAAGGGCAGGGAGGAGGATCCTTCCAGAAGGAGAGGGTCTGTCCTGCAAGGGCCTGGAAGCTGGGGGGGGGGGGGCGGGTTGGCAGGACTGGGTTTGATCCACACTCGAAGTTCAGCACAGCTGGGGCAGAGAATGAGGATCTCAGGGTGGCAGCGCTCATCCAGGGCCTCAGAGCCAGGGAGGGGGTTGGAACTTGACCTTGAGCACAACAGAGGACAGTCTGGGTCAGCATTACAGGAAGGTCCCCCAGGTCGCAGCTGGGGGTCAGGATGCCACTGAAGCTGTCATTCCAGGCGCCATGAGGAGGTGTGCTGCAGGGGGGGTAGGGGTGGGGGCCAGGGACGGCGGGGCCAGTCCGTCTGCCTGTCTGCCAGGCCTGCCCTGCCCACAGCGCCAGCCAGGCCTTGGACGACACAGGTGCTCAATGTTTGCGGAACGGCGAGTAAGTGAGTGGTCGCTTCTCCACGGAGAAAACCGGCACCCTTCTTTCATAGTGTGAGTTCTTAAAATGCGATCAGAATCATAGGACGTTTATTTTGCTGTTAATGTTGCATTTTCATGCAACTGCACTTTCGAAAGTCAGTGCCAGTCCCCCAAATCTTCCTCTGCAGTTGCCGGTGCCCCACTGCATGGAGACGCGGCCGGAGCCAGGCTTTTTGTGTATTTGGGTGTATCAATGGCCCAGATAAGAGGCCTCCAGGATGTACTGCTAAGTTTAGAGCAAAGGGCAGAAGAGCGTTTGTAAGAAGGTGGCTAACTCCGTGGACGAAGGCGGAGACAGGTATGTGTGTATTTGACCTGGATGGCGTTGGCGTGAACAGGCACTGGAGGGCTGCGTGAGAGACTTGTGGGGTGGGCGTGAGCCGTGGAGAGGGCCTGGGCGGACAGCCGGACGGGCGTGCAAGGTCTGGGTGGGAGTGAGACTTTTCAATGTACACTTTTAAGAAACTTTTTGATGTTTGAACCAGAACTTTATTGCACAGGTTCATTTAGATAATGTATTGCCGCCCATGTCTAGAATCTTAATGAACCTGGAGATGACCTCTGGTGAAACATGCGACCTGTTCCCCACGGACATGTCCCGAGACCTACTCCCTACAGCCCTGCCAGACCTTTGTGGCAAAGCAGTATCATGACTTATCACTGTGAAGCCTCCCCTCCGGTCCCTGCTGTGCCCATGGACTAGAGATGACAAGACAAGGAGGAAGCATAGAGACTGCAGTGGCGGCCTCCAGGGTCCAGGAGCACCGACGTCAGCACCAGGGAGCCGTGCAGACAGGACTTCTGTGTCAGGACCCAGGGGTCTTCGCCATGTCTGTGGTGGCCCACATGGCACCCATCGGCCGTCCAGCTGGCGCGATGCCCTGTGGGCCCGGGGGTTCCTCAGCCGTGCCCTCCTCATGGACAGGCCCCGTGCTATGCCCCGCTGCAAACGGGTGGGTTCTGGGCCCCACAGGGTGAGGCTCTGAACAGCCCAGGGCTGCCTGAGGTCTGGAAGCAAAGGCCCTGCCACTGCCCAGGGTGGGTGCAGCCCTCCACTGCCCCTGACCCCCAAAAATGACCCACCAGCCATTGAACCTGGCAAGTCAGAAAGCTGACATCATCTGAGGCTTGCTGGCCCCTCTGTCTCCTTCTCTCCCCCACCCTCCCCTCCCACTCATCCAATCAAATACCTCCTCTGCCACTGCCACCCACCAATGGCATCTGCAAAGTCATCTGTCACAGGGGCCCCACGAGAGAGGTAGGGAGGGACAGTGTTGATGGGAACAGGTGTAATCATACCTTTCTGCTTCCAGGTGAGCCTCTGGGACAGGGCTCTGGTGCCACTGGAAGATGACACCCTGTTTTAAAGAGCCAGGCAATACAGCAAAGCACAGGGTGCTCTGGCCGAGTTGAGTCCTGGGGGCTGAGCTCGTCCCCCACGGGGGCCAAGTGGGTTTGGGGTGGGGATGGGATCACAGCAGAGTGTGCCAGCGTTTTCCCGCATCCCGGAGATGGCAGGTTTCCAATGGTGACATCCTGTGGCAACAAGAAGCAACTGTCATGAAATGCTTACCAGACTCCCGTGACCAGGAAGACCGTGGGAGCCCTGTTCTTTTAGAACAGCTGGGAGAAGCCCGGTCCCCGAGAAAGAAAACTTCACTGCCCGCCGACAGAACACGCCCCTGGCAGCTCGCCTGGTCTTGGAACCTGGCCTGGCCACCCTCTCCCTGTGCCTCCTGTGTGATGCAACTTGACCTAATTGTACCTCAAGTCCCCTTTCTGTAAAACAGGGACAAAGATGAAATAAATACACCTCGTGGGTTTATGGTGAAGTTTACAAAAATTAAAACTTCTGTGGATTTCAGTGGACTCGCACTTAGGACCCTGCCCCAGGGGAGGGAGGACTCCTTAGGTGAGAGCTGCTGTTTTTTAAATGTTGGATCGAGTTGTAGCAATAGAAAGGGTGCTCGGGGTGCTGTGTTTTTATGTTTTACTTCCTTTCCATCCAAGTTGCTTCTGAAGCTCCTAATGGTAACTTCCTGACCCATAGCAGCCAGCGATGGGCAAAAGTAAAAATAAAAAGGTCTTACTAATGTCACTGGATTTCAGAGTTTATCTGTCTACATGGCACCAAGTAGCCCAATTCTGACTACCAGGAGTAGAGACAGACCCCCACACCACTGGACGCTGCCCCCGAAACCAGAGTTGCACTTCGCCTGGCCACACCGGGGGTGGCAGCTATTCTTTTCTGGTGGTCCCAGCTCTGGGCACAGACCCACGAACCCACAGCTAACAGAACTGGGAAGAGGCAGAGCCAAGAGCCCACCAGGGTGTGCCCGCACATGGGTGTGACGCAGCTTAGTTACAACCTCGGGGGCTTCCTGGGTGAAACCCCAAAGTGGCCCTGCCGCTGAAGGGCAGGGAAAAACTGAACAAAGGGACAGGCTGCTCCAGACCAGTGGGTGGCAGGTGTAGGGAGCAAGGGGACTAGCAAGGCTTCCCTTGGGCTGTTGCAGGATGAGCAGACCTCTGCATCCACCTTCCAAAACCCTGCAGCATTCTGGAGAGGCCTGCCTGATGGTCTCCACCCACATCGCTGTCTCAAGGCCACGTCCCCAAACACAGCCTTCGCTGTGGGGACAGTGGGCAGAGCCAACGCCCCAAGAAGGGGCAGAGGCGAGGAGCCTCCGATTGCCGGGGTCCAGCTCACAGGCCCCTCGGTGGCCACAGGCTCTCCATAACCTCCTCCGACATGCTCGGGAAGTGTCAACAAAGGTCCGTGTAGCAAATGACTGATGAAATTTCAGGCACAGGATTTATGTGTACGTAGCCCACGTAATGATGTTCATTACTTTGCTGCTGAAAAAGCTAGATTTACTACCAAAAAAAAGACGAGTTGGTACCAAATAAATCATTTGTGTCTTTTAGAATGTCAGCAACTTTGGAAAAGAAAGAAGACTGTTGAGTGGATTGTGAGGTGACAATAACAAATAACGGCCCTAAGTCGTAAAATAACGACACCATTTTTCAACCTGGGAAAGGTAATATGTATATAAAATTTGTCTCCATCCTTTTAAGTTTGTGGACCATTAAGTTAAATGACGACAGTAGTGCTTTGGGGACAAATTCTTCCTTTTATAAAGGGCACCGCTTTGGGAGTCGGCCAGAGCGTTCTCACTTCTCCTAATTGAAGCGCCAGGGCCTTCAACACGGCCACGTCGGCAGACGCTCCAGGCCCTGTTCCAGGGCCTCCCTTCGGCCACTTCCAAAGGGGAGGAAATGGCCTGGACCACGTCCCATGGCCCTTTTCCCAGAGACTCATTTTCTTCTCTGAGTGACAGGGTACAGTCGCTGCTTCTCGGGGGATGGGCTGGGGAAGGAAATGACCCCGGAGTGTGTGAGGGCCCAGTGTCCCCCAGACTCCCACAGTCTTGCACTGTCCCCTTGGACACAAGTCCCTCACAGCTCACCTTCACCGTTACAGTCCTCGTAGGGATGTGAAAGGCTCGGGGACCAGGCAGTTACCTCCCGAGGATAACACAGTCAGGCAGCCAGGCACGAGCTTCGTCGTCCTGGAACTGAATCTGCCGACACAGCGCCCAGTGACCTGGGCGATCACTCTGACCC